GTGGGGCATCCGCGCCCCACTGTGCGGGCTCCTTGGCCACCCAAGCTGAGCCTTGTCCAGTCCGAAGCAGATGGTTTCACCTTCACCCTCCCACACGGTCCACCTGGGTTGCAGGCCCCACCTGGGTGTGGAACACAGGGGTGCAGAGTCCAAGAGGACAGATACAGAGGGCAGGGGGTCATGGGGGAGCCTGCTTGTGCAATTGGAAGTAGGGACTATCCAAAATAGTAAGTTGGGAACACCAGGTCAAGAACACAGAAAATTGGTGACCAGAAGTGTGGGCAGCAAGTTTGAGGCCCAGGGCTTAGGGTCGGTCCCTGGGGCCATGGTGAGCAGGTGCCAGCTTTGGATGTGCCTCGTGGACAGAGCCTGCCATGGCGGCTCAGGAGAATGGAGGGCACTGGGAGTCCATCAGGACCCAGCTGTGACAAAGAGACCCTTGGCAAGAGGTAGCAAAGGGAGGCGGGCCCAGGGGACTGAGCAGCCAAGGCAGATGGTACCATCTTCACATCCTGTTGGCAAGTGGGTCTCTATGGCCTTGGGGACAGCTGAATCCCTAGAATGGAAACTTCTCATGGTCTGACTGCAGGACTCTCCCAGCAAGTTCAAAGTCTAGGCCCCCTGGGTCCCCAGACAGTGAGTGCTGTGACTAAGCAATGTGACCCTCCAGATCACATTGGGAGGGAGGCCTGGCCCTCTCAGCCCAGAGCACGCCCAGCCTGAGTTTCATGAAGGACCAAAAGCACCAGCCATGAAGGGCGCTCCCAGGCTGTGCCTTGCCCTGAGACAGCTGCGTGGGGAGGCTTCCCGTGGGCCTGGGGCCCTCACCTGCCATCTCCCTGCCCAGATGCTGGAGGTGGGCGCCAACACTCGGGTGCGAGACGTGTGTGAGAGCATCGCCACCAGGTTACAGCTGGCCTCCTGGGAAGGCTGCAGCCTCTTCATCAAGATCTCAGACAAGGTGTGCTGGCCTGGCAGGCCAAGGGAGGGCAGGCAGCGGTCCTGTGGGGCGGGGTGGATTTCAGCCTCTCGGCATGGCTGTGCTGGGCCAGGCCCATTCCTGCACAGCTGGGCTGTTAGGATGAAAGAAGGTGGGTCTTGGGGCTAAAGCCCTGGCCTCACACACCCCGGGCCTGGGTGACTCCAACGCCAACAGTGCACCCAGCTTACCAGGCCTAAGTAGATGGCCACTGGACCCCAGTCCCACAGGGTCTCCCTGGAAGCCACACTACCTTCCTGCCCTCTATCCCTGCCCAACCCCAGGTCATCAGCCAGAAAGAAGGAGACTTCTTTTTCGACTCCTTGAGGCATATGTCTGACTGGGTAAAGAAGAACAAGCCCCAGAAAGAAGGTTAGGGGGTCTCAGGGGCGGGGGCACTGGCTGGGATGGAGGGGAGAACGTGGGGTTATCTGCCTTTCCAGCACTGCTGCATGGCCCTGGGATCATTCCTTCATTCACTTGTTGTCCTATATGCCCCTGGACACAGAGATGGCTGTAGTGGACAGGCCCCAACCCCAAGGGGAGGTCCAGGAACATTCCTGGAGGAAGTGGCCCCCACACTACTCTTGAAAGATGAGGAAGAGTTGGAGGCCAGGGAGGAAAAATTGTGAGACTTTCCAAAGGAGGTGGCAGCAGGAGCAAAGTGGGGGGCAGGGAGGTGTGCTGAGGCAGGGAACAGGGGTGCACGGCCTTGTTTGGGCCATGGGAGTGGGCTGTGGAACCTGCTGGAACAATTTTGGTGCCCACTACTGCCCCTCGTCCAGGGGCCCCCGTGACACTCCCCTACCAGGTGTACTTCATGCGGAAATTGTGGATCAACGTGGCCCCAGGGAAGGACGTGAATGCAGACACCATACTCCACTACCATCAGGTACCTGGCAGGCTTCCCCGACCCAGCCCCTGCCCACCTGTGGCCATTGGCTCCACTCCCATTCCATCCCACATCCTCCCTGAGAGTCTGGGAGGCTGAGGCCAGGGCAGGGCTGCCTTGCCCCAGGGCACCAGCCAGTGTCCCATGAAGTGGGCAGGTCCAGCCCATGAGGACTCTGGAGCCAGGAGCAGAGCACAGCAGCATCTGGGAACAGTAACTGCACTGTTACCTGCAGCGGGATTGGAGGGGGTGAGGAGAGAAGGTCCCAGAGCTTGTGGAGTACTGGCCGGTGCCCTGACGGACCAACTCTATGTGGGTAGAGCACCGCGGCCACCACGGCAGGATGTCAGGGAGCTGTGTCCTGTCTCAAGGGTCACTCCCATGTTCCAAAACTACCAAGGGCCTCAGTTTTGACCTGCTCAGTCTCTCCCAGATGGGGACAGGCTAATACCCCAGCACCCCCACCTGCTCATGAAGGTGGGAGATAAGCCAGCAGCCTGAGGCCCAGCATGTCCACTACTCAGGAGCTGCCCAAGTACCTGCGTGGGTTCCACAAGTGTTCCCGGGAAGACGCTGTCCACCTGGCGGGCCTCATTTACAAGGCCCAGTTTGATAATGACCGGTCCCAGCTGGCTAGTATACCCAAGATCCTGAGGGAACTGGTGCCCGAGAACCTCACTCGCCTGATGTCCTCCGAGGAGTGGAAAAAGGTGCTTGTTGGGTTGTGGAGGGGATCCTCAGGCTGCCAGCCCTACCAGGGACCCCACCTGGGTGTCAGGTTCTGCCTGTGTGGGCACACTGCTGGGCATGGGAGGGGGCTGATCACCATGCCTACCCCAACCCCCCATCCACAGAGCCGCTCCACCTTCCACCTAGACTGGCCCTCAGGCAGATGGGCGCCACTCTGGCCAGGGCCTCAGAGGCCTCTGGGGCATCTAGGTCCAGAAGGAAAAATCCCCTCTGGCCAGGACAGCCCCACTCAGGCCCTGACTGGTCCTGTCTTCCCCCCAGAGCCTCCTCGTGGAATGTGATAAGCACAAAGACAAGACCGTGCAGGAGGCCAAGGTGGCCTTCCTGAAATGGATCTGCCGGTGGCCCACCTTTGGGTCTGCCTTCTTTGAGGTGAAGGTGAGCCTCACCCCACACAAGCCCCACTCAGTCTGACCCCAAGCACCCACCAGGTGGGGTTGACTGCCAGGTCTGACAGAGACGCGTGTGTGTGCGTGTGCACACCTGTGTACCTGCCTGTGCCCCAGGTGAACACGTAGAAAGTGGACACCTGGCCTCTGGGTTGGGCTATGACCATCGTGCCTCTCCCTCTCCAGCAAACCTCAGAGCCGTCCTATCCAGACATTGTCCTCATCGCCATCAACCGACACGGGGTCCTGCTCATCCACCCCAAGACCAAGGTAGAACAGCAAGTCCTGGGGCAGGGCTGGGGGTCACCAGGGTCCCAGGACCCCTGTGCAGGTGGGGCTGCAGTCACCAGTCTGGTGTGCCATGCCTGCCCTCCCGTCCCCCAATACACACACACATGCACGCACGCACACTCAGGTAGGCACAACCCACGGGCTGTGGTCCCTGCCCACCTGCCTCTCTGCCCACAGGACCTGCTCACCACCTACCCCTTCACTAAGATCTCCAACTGGAGCAGTGGTAGCACCTACTTCCACATGGCACTGGGGAGCCTGGGCCGGGGGACGCGCTTGCTGTGTGAGACCTCTCTGGTGAGCCCAGGCCCTGTCGCCCACCCAGATATACAGCACCCGCAGGCACCAGGGACTGGTCTTCCCGCCCTCACCTCATGAGGGGTCAGGTGCTCAGGGCTATGCTGGGCCAACAGAGGCCTGCAGGGAGATGAGGTGCATCCCGAGGGCCAGCAGTCGGCAGCCACTGTGGCAAGACCTCATAGCAGGGATCCGTGCCGTCGGGCCCACTGGGGGAGGCATGGAGAGAAATCAGGCCCAACAGGACAGAGGGGACCCCAACAGCTGGGCCCTCCTTCCCCACTGTGTGGCTGCAGCAGAGAAGCTGGATGCCACCAGGTCCCCGCATCCAAGACCCCAGCTGCCCTCCCCGTGCCCACAGCCTCTGACCCAAACCTGTCCCCATTCAGGGCTACAAGATGGACGACCTGCTGACATCCTACGTGCAACAGCTCCTGAGCGCTGTGAACAAACAAAGAGGCCCCCGGGCCCCATCCCTGGCCAGCACTTAACAGCCACCTGCCCAATTTAGGATCCCTCAGGGTATAAACTCAGGGCCTGCCCCCTGCACACACCCCACTTCCCTCAGGTGCCTGTCTCCCGAGTGCTGACCATGGAGGCCAGAGGTTGTCTCTGGCTCCAGACTCATGCAGGATGACCGAGAGAACCTCTCCCCCTGAACATTTAATAAAACTTCATGGAGCCGTGGAAGCGTGTCATTGAGGTAGCAGGCCGAGTGACAGGTGGACAGCAGGCTTGGGAGGCACTGACCCCCCCCACAGTGTCTCTTCCAGTAACAGCAAAGAGCACTGCAACGTCTCCAGGAAACTGGGTGACAGCTGCATTCCCCAGGAATGACCTCATGTGCACTTTCTCCTTCTTCCCTCCTTCTCCCTCCTGCTGGCCCTTCCTTCCTGTCCTCAGACTGGACACAGGGTATTCACTGAGATTCCTCCTTCCAGGACCCCCTGCGCTTTCCTCCTCCCCCACGGTAAGACACAGGGACACGTGCACTGTTTCCAGGGGGACTGGGGTGGAGGCCATGGGAGGCTGGGGTGGAGGCCATGGGGGGCCAGCATTCTCTTGGGTAGCTGACTTTGTGCTAAGGCCAGGCTGTGCCCAGGCAATGGGTAGAGCTGGATACAAGGCTTGGAGGTCTGGGTCACCCGCCCCCCACCTATCTCAGAGACCCCTCAGCCCAGCCTCCATAGACCACCTGAGAGTCACCCTGACCATAACCCCCCGACCTGCCTGACGGTTCCTGGCGGCCTTCTGTCTGTCGGCTTGGCCTGAGACAGGGCTGGGTCCCCCCGACCTCTTCTGCCTGCCTATCTGGTGTTTAGTAACCCCAGCAGCAGGGGGTCCACATGAGCGGAGACCCCACTCCCCCCACCCCTGATGCCACAAACCACATAGGCCACGGTGGGCACGTGAATAAGCCTTCATTGTGCAAAGGTGAGCCCCACAGCCAGGTCTCGGCTGGCCACGGAGGATGGGTCCGCCCTGGAAGTGGGAGAGAGCCGCCCCTCACTCCACCACCTCCTGGCCCCCAGGCCATGCCCAGAGGCTCAGTGTAGATCCTGGGTTTGAGGAGAGGGGAACCGCAGCTTGAGGAGGGTGGCTGAGACAAGATGTCAGAGAGGGTCCTGGAGTCAGGGAGGGGCTGGGGCCATGTCCCTCCAGCCGGTTTGTGGGTGGGCATGGCCCAGGATGATCAGAGGGACCCTACGTGATTGAATGAGTGACTGTGAGATTGAAGAGTGGTGTCCCCAGCCCAAGAAGCTTCCTCCTGTCTGGGCCTGATGGCCGTGGGTGCTCCACGTGCCACTCGGGATGAGGCCCTATAGCAGAGTGAGTGCCAAGAAGACCCCTGCAGAGCAGGACAGGTCAGGGGCACAGGTGGAAGCAGCTGTCAGGTGCGGATCAGGCCTCCACACAGAAGAGGAAGGAGGGGGATGGCCAAGGGGGGAGGTGCTGGAGCACACAGACCCAGACCAGATGGGAGGGAGGCCCTGGTGAATGGGGAGAGGGCAGAAGGCAGGGGACCGGGCTGGGAGAAGGAAAGAGTGGAGAAGTGGAAGGCGGCCAGGAGAAGGGGGCCAGGCAACTGGGGAGCCTTTAGGCAGAGTTGACATCCACGGACTTGGGCTGGGCCTTGCGGGAGGTCAGATCTGAGAGCTTCTTCAGCCGCTTCTTCAGCTCCAGCGGGAACTTCTCGTAGCATTTCTTACACACGGGCTTCATGTCGAACTCCACAAACTTGTTCCTGGGGATGAAGCCAGCAGTTCATGCCCCACTGACTCTGAACCCAGATAATGAGCCAGAGGCAGCAAGGGCCTGCTTCTGGCCACAGGGCACATGGGGATAAGGAGATGGGCCTGGGGCCTCCTTCCCTCCTGGAGGCTTCTCAGATTCGGACCCTCCAGAACCCTCTATGGCTCCCTATTTCCCATGGAAGCCTGGGCTCCAAATCACTGGACTCCTCACAGTCCCATCCAGGCTTCCCTGACATATTTGCCTTTCATATGCTGTCCCCTGAGCTAGAATGTCCTCCCCTGCCAAGAGTTCAGAGTCTTTGTGGATGTGTTACTCCCTCCTTCACCATACCCTGGAGTCCCGGGACCTGTCCCCATCTGCCTGGGCTGCCCCTGGCATCCCCGGGGCCTGACCACCACAGTGTGCAGGGAAGACTGGATGAGAAAAGGAAAGGACCTACAGAGAGCCCCCACCACACGCCCCTGCAGGTGGGAGGAGGCAGTAGGTTGACTCACTTCAGGGTGAGCTTGCTGTGGCAGGTGGAGCAGGAGAAGCAGTTCACACACCAGGCCTTGTTGAGGGCAGACACCACTGTGAGGGCAGAAGGGGGCTTAGCAGGTCAGCTGCAGGCCCAGCTGTGCAAAGCCAGAGCCAGCTGGGCCAGCAGCTGCAGAGCCCACCGCCTGGAGGGAGAGCAGGGTGGGGGTGGGAGGGACTTAGGGACAGAGGGGCCTCACCATCACCCTCGATCACATGGCTGCAGTTGTAGCAGACATCCCCAAAAAGCTGTGGACAGAGCAGGGTATCAGTGCGGGCTGCAGACCCCAGCCTGAGGCCCCCCAACACGGCCACTCTCAGGCATCCCCTGAAGCCTTCCCACCAGGCACAGCCTCAGGCTTGGGGTGGGGGCACGGGGCCCTCTACATCCATCCCTGGGAAAGAACAAGGCATTGCTCCCCAAGAGTGCTGTCGCTCCTGCTGGTGACCAGGAGGGCTGTGGGCTGCCCCCACCTATTCACCAGAGCAGTAGTTAAGGAAGAGGAGGCTGGCTGTCACCCCATGTGCCTGGTACCGCACACTGTTATCTGGCTGGGTCCTCACAACAGGTACCGGCCACAGACACACAATTTTTAAATAAGGACATTGAGCAGAGAAAGCTGCTCATGTCTCAAGTCTAAGCTGGGATTCAGGCCTGGCCTCAGCCCCTCCACGGGCTCTCAGGTCACTGCCCACAGCCTTTCCTGCTCACACAACAGCCCCAGCCCACCTCCCTCAGGGCCCTGAGACCCCCAGCCATCCACCTGGACCCCTCACAACCCCCAGCCGTCCACCTGGACCCCTTGCAACCCCCAGCCATCCACCCAGACCCCCTGCGACCCCCAGCTGTCCACCTAGATCCTCTGCAACCCCCAGCCGTCCACCCAGACCCCCTGCGACCCCCAGCTGTCCACCCAGACCCGTGTGCTGCGGGCTTGCCCTGCAGCCCTACCCTGCGACCCCCAGTTGTCCACCCAGACCCGTGTGCTGCGGGCTTGCCCTGCAGCCCTACCTGGTTGTAGTGGGTCTCGCAGTAGGCCAGGCCCTTCTTCTCGTAGTGCCGGTGGCCCAGGAATGGCTTCTCACACTTGGCACAGACAAAGTGCTGGGAGGAGAGAGGGTGGCTGGGGAGGTGTCAGAGCTAGAGCAGTGACCCCAGGAGGCAGAGGGAAGGGCGACTCCTTGGTCCTCCTTGAACACAGTGACATCCCTCGTCACTGTCCTCTCCCAGCCTGGGGTTCCCCGGAAGCCAGAAGCTGGCAAGGTGCTGCAGTGTGGTGGCCTCTCACGGGTGGGAGCTGCCCTGCTCTCCGCAGGGTGCCTCTGGGGTGTCCTCCAGACACAGGGTCACTGAGAGGCAGTTTGCAGCCATTTCATAGGTGAGGATGCACCTCCCCCAGGGGCACAGGCCAGGGCCTGGGTCAGGGCAGCATGGCCCACAGTCTCTCATAGGACCTTCTCAAAGAGGCCACCCAATACATAGTTTCTGGACACAGAGATGGCCAGGCCACCGGGGAACACAAACATCCTTTCCAAGTATGTCTATAAGAACACTAAAGCCCTGGTCCAGGGGCAAGAGCTCCAGGTGACCCCAGTGTGCACACCTGGGCAGCCTACTAGTGCCTCGTCTCCTTGAGACTGCACATGGCTGATTTTGTCCACCATAACCCTCGGGGTGCCTCTGGCCAACTCTGGAATCCTCTGAAATGCAGGAGGTGGAAGAGGAAAGGTGGACGTGGCTGCCTGACCAAGACCTGTGGGCTCAGGTCTCCGGCACCTATGGACAGCTGCGGTCCCTGGCCATGCACAAGACGGGTAGCTCCCTGAGGCTGGGCCTCTCCGGGAGCCAGTGCACAGTATGGGCTGGGATGTGAAGGGGGCTGTGAATGGGGGCACCCCTCAACCTGAAGCCTTGTGCTACTGCCAGTCTCACCTCCACGTGCCACTGCTTGCCCAGCGCGTTGACCACACGGCCCTCAATGGGCCGGCGGCAGGCCCCGCAGATGGGGACCCCCATCTTGTCATGGCAAGGTAGGCAGTAGAGCTCACCCTTCAGCTCCCGGGCCTCGGCAGTCAGCTCCTTCCTGGAAGACAGCACAGACTCCTCCAGGTGTCACCCCTGACCTTTGGCAGGGTCACTCCAGCCTCTCTAGCCCAAAGGCACTGTGCCCTGAAAGGCCCCACTCAGGCTGAGCCGAAACTCTCTGATCTTTGGTTTTTTTGGAGACTTCCTGTATGAGCCCCAGACAGGCCCTGGAGCACAGAATTCCCCCACAGGCCTGGCAGAAGGGCCCTTGTGTTCTGCCCCATCAGCCCTTTGAGAGGCAGGTCTGTTCTCAGACCTCCCTCCTCCTCCAAAAGCAGACTGGGTGTCTGGGACAGGCACGGAAGGGACCAGAAGAGACTTTGAGGGAATAACTCCTCGTCCCTCTCCCACACCAGCACCAACCTCACTCTCCACCCCTACCTCTCTGCTCCGTCTCAGCCATGGTCTCTGCAGTCCAGGGACCAACCTCCCGCTTTCGCCCCCCAAGTCTCAATTACCCACTGAACAGAGTCCTGGAGAGAGGAGCTTCCGGCCCCAGCCACTTCCCAGTCCCCATTCTACCTCTTCCCTGCAGCTCTGCACCTCATGGTGTGGACACCCTCTCTGCCCACCTGGTTCACCTCTCCTGCCTCAGCCCTAGGTGCGGGTCCCACCACCCCTGCTCTCTGACAGCCATGGCTGTCCACCGGCCCCCACCCCAGGGACAGGATAGGCACCTACCCACAGTGGGTGCAGCTGAAGTGATCTGGGTGGTAGGCGTCATTCCTGAACATGAGGGGCTGCTCATCAATGACCAGGTGGCACCGCTGACAGATGTACTTTCCTAGGCCCTTGGCCTTCTCACGGTTGTGGCAAGGCCGGCACAGGTGCCTGTGGGAGGTGAGGGTATTGTTAGGGGCAGGTCAATACCTCCTGCTCCCAGGATGGCCAGGCCACCTGTAGAAGAGAGCCCAGGACCCTGCCTGCAGCCTCAGCCAGAGCCTTGGGGCTTCAATGAGGCTCATCCCAGAAAGCAGGAAAGCAAGCTGCCCAGGGGGGCACAGGTGCACCCTTTAAAAAGAGGGCCCAGGGCGGCACAGGTGCACCCTTTAAAAGAAGTGGCCTCCTGTGCTCAGGAAAAAGACTAGGCATACAGCAGAATGTTCATGTTTTTCTCTCTTTGGCTAGTATGTTTCTTCTTTTAAAAGTGGTATGTTTCCACTTTTCCTGAACCTAGGATAGTATATGGAACAGAAAAGACATTTAATTGACATTCGCTGGAAAACAAGTTTCATGTCTCAAATGTCCTAACAGGAGCTACAGAGAAGGTTAGTTTCAAAATCCCACTATGCCCAGCAGAGTGGCCACGAAGCACAGGACCGCACAACGGGCTCATCCTTTCCTTTGGGGTGCACCAGATAAAAAGGGGTCCTAACGTGTACAGGCACCTTCTGTCTCCAAAGACAAGTGCGGCTGTGTCAGACGGAGGCCCCAAACCCAGGAACTGTCATCACAGAGTCTTTTTTGTGAAGACCTCAGAGTCATTTCTGATGCTACTCCACAGCTGTGGTCTCAACTGAGTGAGAAATCAACATGGTTTCTGTTTCCCCTCCCTCAAAGGAGGCAAGAATTTAGATTCAGGGTCCTCAGGCAAAGATAGACAAAGAGGGAAATCCAGCGCCCCTTGTTTCTATCCCCACCTGCCACCCCAATCTAAATGTGCTCCTGATGCAGCCAGACCCTCTGTCCCAGGCCCCCAATCCACGGGGATGCCCCTTCACCCTTCCGACCTCCACACGGCAACCTCAATGTTGGCTCCTTTTACAGGCTGGCAGTTTACATAAGGGATTGACTCTCATTCAAAACCTCCCTGCCAGGTGAGAGTGGGCAGTCAACTCAGTGTCCCCAGCCTGGACCCCCAAGCCCGCTATGTCTGTTTGGATCTGGACTCTATCCCGCAGCTCCCTGCTCTTTACTTGCCCCTGAGTCCGACTTTACCAGGGGGAATGTCCCAGCGAGGTCCTGGGAACCACTTGCTAACATCTGCCGGGCTCCCAGCTGTGCCTTTGGCAGGTGCAGGGTGCCCAGCATGAGGCAATGGCTCAGGATCAGCTTATGGAATATGTGAGAGAACAAGTGATTGCGCAATACATCATCTCCCTGTGACTTGGCCAAGCCTGGCCTAGGCCCTTGGCTCTCCCCACCCCACAGTGGACAGCAGATGTGGCCTGTAGCAGCAGCCTTCATCAACATGATCCAGGGATCCCACCCTCACCCAGACACCTACGCCCCAGCCCCCACCCACACCACCTCCACATTTGGCCTAGGGCTGATCCGCCCCACCCAACCACCGACTGTGACCAGCCCACTCCCCCGACTGTGACCAGCCCACTCCCCCGGCCTCTGTCACATAGTCATTCCCCGTAGTCCCACTCCCAATTTTGGAGATTACTCCTTAGCATGAGGACAACATTCAACCCATATAGAATAACTCTATTTCAAAGCTGTAGAAATTTGCTCAACTTCCCAAATTCTACCGCAATGGTCAACGCCCTTCAAGCCTCCATCAGGAGTCTCCTCGATAATGAAAAGTCTGTTGGTGTGTGTTGGGGGGTGGCTCAGTGGAAGAGCACTTGCCTAGCATGTACGAGGCACTGGGTTCAATCCCTAGCATTAAGGAAATGGAAGGGCAGGTCAGGGGGAACCCAGAAACGCCCACATTTCTTTTTTCCTTTTCTTTCTTTGTGTGTATGTGTGTGTGTGTGTGTGTGTGTGTGTGTGTGTGTGTGTGTGTGTGTTACTAGGGATTAAACCCAGGGGCACTTTAACATTGAGCTACATCCCCCAGGCCTTTTAATCTTTTATTTTGGGATAGGGACTGAATAAGTTTCCCAGGTTGGTCTTGAACTTGCAATTCTCCTGCCTCAGCCTCCTGAGTTGCCAAGATGGCAGCGTGTTCCACTGCACCCAGCACACACCCACATTTTCATCCAGTGTGAGTCAGTTCTTCCAGAAAGCCCACCCAGGGCACAACAGGAAAGGGACCTCTACCCTGGCTCAGATACCTGATTACCCACTGGCTCCCAGGCAGGGCAGAGGAGCCCCCTACTCCTGTAGACATCCCAGCTGGGAAACAGGTTCAGGATACACTCAATCCCAACACCAGATCCAAAGAGGACCTTTGGAATTTTTTTTCCAAGTAGAATTCAAATGGAAACTAAGAATTCTAACATTAAGGTACAGCAGCAAAAGAGAACCACAAAGCCATGTGTACAAATGCCTGTAATCCCAGTGGCTTGGGAGATTGAGGCAGGAGGATCACGAGTTCAAAGCCAGCCTCAGCAACTTAGCAAGGCCCTAAGTAACTCAGTGAGACCCTGTCTCTAAATAAAACACAAAAAAATGGATATGGATGTAGCTTGGTGGTTAAGCACCCCTGGATTCACTCCCCAGGACTAAAAAAAAAAAACACAGAACCCACACAGGAAGCATAGCTTCTTGAGTGACACAGGCTTGGGTTTAAACCCTGGCTCTGTCATTTTCTGGCATTTGCCATTGAGTAGGTTACTTCACCTCTCTGAGCCTCAGTTTCCTTGCCTACAAAATGGGGCAATAATTCAGAGAGCACAGGGTTATGCAAAAAGGTAAATTTCAGATAGTGCACATGGTAGGCACTCCCAAGTGCCAGCCACATACAGTTTTAAATAAAAACTTAAAAGTCTTTTGAAACCAGGATTGCTGATTTGGTTCTCCAGGTCTTTTGCCAAGATGGAGAGAAATGAGCTTGGTTCAGTCTTGGGAGAGGCCATCCTGGCAATACCCAAATTGCTCGGGCCCCAACCTCGAGCAAACCATAGAGGAGTCTTAGGAGCCAGCGGTCAGTGGGCCGCAGTGGCTCTCTTGATGGCCCTTCTGTGCTGGGGAAGAATCCACACCGGCAAGAGCTGGGCCTGCCTGGCTGAGCTGCGTCCCCACGGGACAGACAGCGCCCCATTATGAGGCGGCCTGCAGCTGTGCTTGATTCTACATAAAGGCCATGATTTATTCCACATGCCCAAACGGAGCCTAATTATACAGGGCAGGACACAAGGACCGTACAGCAAGTGTCCTGAAAGAATCCCCTCTCATTCCGCCCAACAAGACTCCTCAGCCTCCCGCCCTCTGCATTCATGGACACCCCCTCCCGCCCACCCAGCGCAGGCCTGGGAGCGCGGGCCTGTTGCCATGGTGGCTGGCCCCTCCCTGCCCCCCCCCATTAGTAGGAAACCATCCCCTTCTGAAATATCCCCTTGTGTCTGTCAGCTTCAATCAGAGCCCCCCACCCAGCCCCAGCCGTCACCCACTCCCAGGCTCCCAAAGCAGTCACACACTCAGCCTCTGTGACGCTCAGTGGCCAAGCTGGGAGGGGGGTTCACAGGCTGGGGACACTGCAAAATTCACAGCCCCGTTGCAGCAGAGGCAGCCGGAGGAGCAGCCCACCCCACAAGGGACCCCTCAGGAATGAAGTAGCCTTTCAGGGCTGGAGGGGCTGCAGGCGCCCTTCCTCTCCTTAAATAGCCAGCTGTCCACCCACAGCTGCACAGAGGCCACCGCCGACGCCACCGCCCGCGCCCACGGTTCACCTGCCATCCCAGCTCCTGTCCGTTCCTCCTGGACCAGCTGTGAGAGGTAAGGAGCAGGACGGGGCGGGCAGGCAGGGCGTCCGGGAGTCACCCTGCTGGTGAACATGGGGCATCTCTTGTCCCTGTCTCCTTGATAATGGCTAGGCCAAAGTTGAACTCACAGCGACCTGCAATGCAGTGTTTTTGCCCCTCCATTGGGGGCTTATAAAGGACAGGGGACTTTCCCACAGGCCCACGCCGCGGTGACAGTCAGCCAGCACCCACGGCCACAAGGCTTTCTAGAGCCAGATTCGGGCCAGGAAGTGACAGGTGACCAATGTACAGAAAACTACCTCTGCCAACCACAGTACTGCCACCCATGGCTTCCTCCTCCAGCCGCGTCTGCCTGTATGGCCCCTCCATGGAGGCCCAAGGCCCATCTGACCTGCAGCCACGGGGCCCAGACTGCCCCAGGTCCATGCCATACTCCACGCTGCTCTTAGTAGCTCATGCTCTGTGACTGTCTGAGCAGAGTGAGCCCAGAGGACCCATAGATCTAGGCTGAGGCTCAAATTTCTAAGGGACAAGGGAGCGAGAGAAATGGAAGGAGAAATCACAGCAAAACAGAAACAACCCAGACAGTCTCAGTCACCAAGAGTGAGTATCCCCAGTCTCCAGCCTAGGTGGCAGGCCAAGGGCAGCATCAACAGGCAAGGCCACCTGGCAGAAGGCAAGGCAGAACTGGATGCCACAGCCCATCCAGCACTCTGGGGTGTGAGCCCTGTAGTCACACACTCGGAGCCCTGAGTGGTTTAATGCTCTGCTGTCGTGTCTTGAAATTCTTACTTTTCAAGCAAGGAATACACATTGTCATTTCACATTGGTCCCCCAAATTAGGTGGCCAGTCCTTCAGCCAGGTCCCAAGAAGGAGACACTGAGCCAGAGACAACTCCAGAATGAGCTCTGAGACAAATCACACTCCTGGCTCCGGCCACGGAGCCCTCGTGGGTCTCCAGAGGTAGTGTCCTGGGAGCCTTGGGTCTCTCTGATCCAACTTCCAACTCCAGGGCCACTGCCCCCTGCTATGTGACTTCAGGCAAGAAAGCAGACGCCAAGCCCTGTTTTCCCCCTTTGTAAAATGGAGCACCCGATGCCAACCTCCTAGAACCAGCACACACAAGAGGAAGAAGGCCCTGACCATGCCATGTGTGGGTAAGGGTGGGGGCCATACCTGTGAGCTGACCTCCTGGAGGAACCAGGTGACAAATGTACTGTAGAGCACAGTCCAGGTCCAACCGACTGCCCAGGGTAGAGGGCAGCCAGCTCAGCCCCTTCCTAGCTCTGGGTTCAGACAGACCAGAGATGAGAAGTCAGGGTCAGCATTGGCCTCCTGAGCCACGTCCAGTCTCTTGCCCCACCCTAGGCTGTAGGCTCCTCTGGCCCCATCATCTACCCTCTCCTGCCCACATCCCCAGCTCCCAGTCCTGGGCAAAAGAAGCAAGGTGTTTGGGACTCCCCTTCTTCTCTCTCTTGGATCTTTTAAGTGGACTAAATCAAGGCAAAGCAGATTTCCCTGTTGGGGAGGGGTAGGGAGCACTGATGAGGATCTGGGCTTCACTTTGTTAGCAAGGGAGGGCTCTGACCACAGTCCTCAGGCAGCCTCCCAGGCCTCTCTGAGCTGCAGATCTTCCCAGGGAAATCCTAGCCAGTCTCTCTGCCATTAGGCCCTTGACCTCCTGAAAAGATCCCACTTCTTGATGTTGGAACAACCTGGTGGGAAAACACATCCTGCTGGCCTGAGGTCCAAGCACAGGGTCTTCCTCAATCCAGGCCTCCTCCCAGTGGGATGTCCAAAACAGAACTGGTGGGCTGAGTCCACTTGCCGATGCTGGTGGACAGAGCAGGCCTCTGGCTTCCTCCCAGGACATGGCCCTTGCTGCATTCCTGAGGAAGCGCTCCTGAAGGTCGGGTGCTGGGGGAACCGTGGTCGGGGGCTGCAGGGGTGCCAGAAGGTCCAAGCAGACAGGTCAGGGAGGATTCTGGGACTTAAGGAGAGTGGTGTTCACTTGGAAAGACTGAGGCTGAAGGAATTGCCAGCTCTCAGAAACAGCCCACCCAGTCAGTGGTAATGAGGGCCACCGTCTGCCGTTCAGATGGCTCACCTGGAGGGAGAACAGGAAATACGGGGCCCTTCCCTGCCCTCCAGAGCCTCACACAGTCGGAGCTCACATCTCCCCACTACAGTGCAGACTTCACCCTCCCTGCCCTGAGGGAGTAGAACATGGGGTACAATGTGGGGAGGAGCTGCAGATTTCTGGGTCACCCAGCACTGGCCCCAGGCCATTTCGTCAGGGACACAGCTACTCAGGGGGAAAGCTTCAAGCCCCAGTTTTGCTTTGACCTTGTGCTAAAATTCAGAATGCCTTTGATGATGAGTCACCCCCAAATGGGCACAGGGGTTCTCAGCAGTCCTGGTGGTAATGCTCCGCTCAGAGCAGCTCTGTTCCTCTCAGTTAGGGGTGGGAAGTTCTGAAGTCATCAGAGGTCCTACTTGTGACTTCTGAAGGGCAAAGCTTCGCTAGCCTGGGTTCTCTCTGGCCTGTTTGCTTGTTCACTCCATGTCTGTCCCCTGCTCTGCCTCCAGCCACAGCATGAATGGCCTCGAGGTGGCCTCCCCAAGTCTGACTGACAACTCATCTCTGACCACTGAGCAATGTGGGCAGGAGACGCCCCTGGAGAACATGCTGTTCGCTTGCTTCTACCTCCTGGATTTCATCCTGGCTTTTGTTGGCAATGCCCTGGCCCTGTGGCTTTTCATCCGGGACCACAAGTCAGGCACCCCAGCCAACGTGTTCCTGATGCACCTGGCCGTGGCCGACTTGTCCTGTGTGCTGGTCCTGCCCACCCGCCTCGTCTATCACTTCTCTGGGAACCACTGGCCATTTGGGGAAATCCCGTGCCGACTCACCGGCTTCCTCTTCTACCTCAACATGTACGCCAGCATCTACTTCCTCACCTGCATCAGCGCTGACCGCTTCCTGGCCATCGTGCACCCGGTCAAGTCCCTCAAGCTGCGCAGGCCTCTCTATGCTCACCTGGCCTGTGCCTTCTTGTGGGTGGTGGTGGCTGTGGCCATGGCTCCACTGCTGGTCAGCCCACAGACGGTCCAGACCAACCACACAGTCGTCTGCCTGCAGCTGTACCGAGAGAAGGCCTCCCACCATGCCCTGGCGTCCCTCGCCGTGGCCTTCACCTTCCCGTTTGTCACCACGGTCACCTGCTACCTGCTGATCATCCGCAGCCTGAGAAAGGGCCCCCGCGTGGAGAAGCGCCTCAAGAACAAAGCCGTCCGCATGATCGCCATGGTGCTGGCCATCTTCCTGATCTGCTTCGTGCCCTACCACGTCCACCGCTCCGTCTACGTGCTGCACTACCGGGGCGGCGGGACCTCCTGCACGGCCCAGCGTGTCCTGGCCCTGGGAAACCGCATCACTTCCTGTCTCACCAGCCTCAATGGGGCCCTCGACCCTGTCATGTACTTCTTTGTAGCTGAGAAGTTCCGTCACGCCCTGTGCAATCTGCTTTGCGGCAAAAGGCTCACGGGTCCGCCCCCCAGCTTTGAAGGGAAAACCAACGAGAGCTCGCTGAGTGCCAGGTCAGAGCTGTGAGCCCGAGGCTCCGTCCCTGGGTGGGCCACAGACTGTTGCAGGAGGAGGGTCCCCTTAGGGTGGGTGACACTGGTCTCAGCAAAGAGAAGGCTGCCCACTGCTCCAATCTCCCTGAGCAAACCACCTGTTTCAGCAGGTCCCTACTCGCCCCTCCCAAAGGTCTGAACTTCCAAGTCACCCAGACCGGAGCTGGGTCTTAACCACACAGAACCCCTAAAAAAGAAGAAGAATCAGTGAGGATTGAGAGGCCGTCCCTCTGCAGGGACTGTTGGCTCTGCTTCCTAGTTGCTCCCAGACACCCAGTGAGTTCACCCGTGGAAAGGGGGAGGGGACCCAGAGGAACAACTCCAGAACACTGAGGGTCTTTCTTTCCCCCACTAGACTGCCAGCCTCCCTAATTACAGAAATGCACAGCAGGGAGGCCACGTAGAAAGGCCCAGAAGGAAGGCTGCAAAGGACTCAGGAGAAGAGGCACCCATGAATCTCAGTGGAGGAGTAGGGACAGTGTCTACCGTACAAGGAGTTCCCTTTGCAGTGCCTTTGCCAGGCGAGCCCTTTCTGAATTTTGGGGGGATGGACTATAAATTGTAGCTAAATGCCGTAAGTATATTCAGACTGGTTGCCACGTGACACCCAGCAGCCGTGGTTTGCAGAACACATTCATCCTGATCCCTCCTGTTATAAGCTACACAGAGACCTGCCTGTGGTCTGACAATCCCTAGAGCCTCTCAGCAAAAGGAGCGCGGTGTGTATCCTGCTAATCCAGACCTGGCAGCGGCATCCTGAGTCCCATTTCCTCCCGAGGGGACTCAGCCAGCCTCTGCCCGCCCAGTTTTGAGCTGTCTCGCTTGGTAGCCTGCATGCATCCCCCTAACATGTCCTTTTTTGTACTTGTTTGTACTGATCATAAACTGAATTGTAGTTTTAAGCTGACGGAGGCTATTGTGTCTGCTCAACGCGATGCCTTTCCCAGAACTTCTCTTCCCTTTCAACCCAAGAATGACCAAGCAGAGGCTGGGGCAGCTGTGGGGGCTCCCTTGCCAAGGTTCTGGTGGCCCACGCCTGCCACCCATGCCTGCCTGAGCCAGGAGGGTCCAAACGAGGACTTTCATTACTCAGCATCCTGGCTGCCACCCTGTCCCCTGTCATTACCGCTTTTCTACCACATGCTACTTTTCAAAGCACTTTTGGCCTCTTCTCATTTTCCCAACCAGTGAATGGAGCAGTGGCCCTGTGCAAGACTTGGCTCAGGAGGGGACAGGACTCCTTCCAAGCTCACACCTGGCTGATGACCCCAGTGGTCAACAGCTGTCCTTTAGCTCTTGCACTGTGCCATCAGTGCCCCACAGCCCCTCACCCAGACAACCTGCAGAGCGCCAAGCACTGTGCCCGCCCTGCAGACACCAAGAATGACGTGAGGCCATCTTTTTTCTCATGAAGCAGCAAATGGACAAGATCACTGCAGGCCACATCAGGAAGGGTCAGGGGAGGTGCTGCAGCAGAAAACTTAGTACCTACATGGGAGAGGGTGCGGCAGTCAGATGGACAGCTAGGGGGTCTCTGGGGCAGTGCTGCCTCTTCTGATGTGGGGACACGGAGAGGCAGACTTGGTCATCAGTGAGTTCAGTGGTTTGCTTTTTGTTTCATACTGGGGATTGAACCCAGGGGCACTCCACCACTGAGCTACATTTCCAGCCCTATTTTAAGACAAGGTCTTGCTGAGTTGTACAGGCTGACCTCAAACTCACTTTCCTCCTGCCTCAGCATCCCAAGCCACTAGGATTACAAGCGTGAGCCACTGCGTCCAGCTGGAAACTCGGGGTGGGACCCATTGCATTTGGGATGCCTAGTGTGCCCCCCAGGGAACAGCCATGTGGACCACTGAGTACTGGTAGGAAGAGGTCTGGGGTGGTGCCCTTAACTATCCAGACAGGCCATGCAGGGTCTCAGGCCTGTCTTCAAAGGCAGACATGAGGGGCCAAGCACAAAGCCCCAGAGGAGAAGAGAAGAGAATGAGGGAGGGGAAAACCATGAGATATGGATTCTCATGGGGAGAAGAGGCGTTTCCACCTGAAGGAGGGGCATTGCCGTGAAAGCCACTGGGAGACCTGTTAGTGCCCACGGTGGCCGCGGGGAGCACACTAGGGTAGTGGGGGCTCCTGGGTGGAGCAGGCAGGTGCGCTGGAAAGGGCTGCAGCTATGCAGGTGTGGATGGGGCACCCCAAAATTCGTCTCCAGGGAGGAGGGAGGTAAGGCCATCACTCTACAGAGGGGTGTAGAGGTCAGCAGTTGGGAAAGGCAGGGGTGGGGAGAATCATAAGGCTTCTTGAAGGTGGGAACTACCCGAATGCATGGTCCTGATTGGGGGGACTTCTCTCCAGCAACTTTCAGTCATGTGAGTCTATAGAGTTGGGGGGTGCAGATAGCTGGAGTCCGCATGCTGAGAGGCCCCAGGGGTGTCAGCTCAACTCAAAGCTCCTTATCCACCCACCGTCACCTCCTGGCTCCTGCTCCAGGGCTATTGTCCTCACTGCCTGCTGGCTGTCCTTGAGGAACAGTGCCAAGCCCAGGGGGGGCTCTGCTCTGGCCCCGCATCCCTGTCTCTGCAGCCTCACTCCTCATTAGAAACTGGGGGTGTACTGACCACCTTGGAGGTACAAAAGGGAGTCGGTAGCCACATCAGTACAGGCCAGGGAGCCTGGAGGGGCCTGGGGCTCAGCCTGTGGCCCCTGGGGCTCCTCACCTGCCCGCATTCTTCACAAAGCCCAGGTCGGCCAGCTCCACATCACACAGCTCACAGCGAAAGCACCCCGGGTGCCAGTTGCTGTTCATGGCCTTGATCACGCGTCCAATGATGAACTCGCCTGGAAGAGGAGAGGTCCCTGCTTGCTGGGCAGGACTTGGCCCCTGCCAGGCCCTGTCCACATCAGCGCTCCTCCAAGCTCAGCCTGGTCCAAGGAACCCTGCCTGCAGCACAGGAAGGCGGTGCCTGTGGAGGGCTGGAAGGGAAATGCTCAGAGACGGGCAAGGTGGACAGGGAAGAGCCCCTCCACCCAGCAGGCCAGGCCCGTGGGCACTCCACCGCAGGACCCTCACCCGCCCACCTCCCACTTCCCAGGCAGCAGCAGACTCACCGCAGGATCCGCAGCACGGGGCAAACAGCATTTGGAAGTCGTGTTCGCAGTATTTCCGGCCCTCAAACTGCAAAGGGGCCATAGACAAGACCAATAAATCACCCATCATTCCCACGAGCCTCCTCCACACCCGTACCCCTGCCTTTGTTGGGTCAGGACCTGACGGCAGGGACGGATGGGTGTGGAACTGAGAGGAGGACATTCCAGAAGCCAGAGCAGGGGGTGGGGCCCACGATACAAAGAGGTGCCCAGAAAGGGGCTTCCATAGGAACCACTGCAGAAGTCCCCAAGGCCAGCTCTCAGAGGGCCCCTGCTGCATGTTAAGGATGGTGGCCCTGTGGGTCCCAAGAGCAGGCCAGACTGCAGGAGGGAGTTTAAGCTGGGACGGGATGAGGTCAAGTTCAAATCATATGCATCTCTTTGCCCTATTTCCTGTGTCCTTTCTGTATGGAAAATCCAGAGGTCACAAAAGAGTGAAGAGAATTAAAAAGGGGACACAGGATGGTCTGAGGGAGGGAGGGGAGGGCAGGAATGGAGGCACAACTGAGTACTGCAGCCAGTGGGAGTGGACACCCCCGTGGAGCCACTTTTGGGCAGCGAGGACCAGGTACTGGCCCCAGGATGTCAGAGCCTGCCTGTCTCCCTCTCCCTGAACAATTTTTTTCTTGTTTAAAAATCTGGCTTTTCTGTTTTCTATAACAAGTGCCTATTTGACTGCAGCCCTATCCATTGTCCTGGGGAGGCAATGGAGGTTTAAGTTCATCCTGCAGTGATATCTGAGCGCCTACTGTATGCCAGGCTTTGTTCTAAGCACATGGCCCCTTCAGAACCGTCTACTCTTCCCGTTGCCTCTACCGCTGGCCGGCACTCCCCAGGAGGCTATGAAGCACCACAAGAATGCTACTGTGCAAGGCAGATCACACACCCACATCCATCCACCAACGATCCCTTAGGATCCTCAAAAGCTACTGCATCTGCCCCCAGTCCCTGGTCCCCACCTCCACTGCCACCGTCAGTGGTGTGCTGGTAAGTGTGTAACAACCAGCTCTCGGTGGCATGGAGGGAGGTGGCTGATGCATAGTGTTGGTGAAAACATCCCCCCAGGGTGATTTCCAGCTGCCAACGCAACACTGACCCAGTCGGGAAGACATGGGCACTGGCTGCCTTGGAGGTAGGAAGGATAGAAATAACCTCGGAAGCATAGAGGATAGTAAAATGTAACAAAATAATTAGGAAATGGGGAGTTTTATATATTAGTTACCTTTGTGGGGTTTTTTAAAGTATTTTTTTTAGCTGTGTATGGACTCAAGGCCTCTATTTGTTTTGATGTGGTGCCAGGATGGAACCCAGTGCCCCACACTTGCCAGGCAAGTGCTCTGCCGCTGAGCCCCAGCTCCAGCCCCACCTTTGTTTTTAATAAAATGTTTCTTCACATTTGTGCATTTCCACAACTTAATTTTTTAATGATGACTATTTAATAATCATTTTGCAAGACTAAAGATTTAACAACCTGCTCCTATGAGCTGGTGACAGCCACTCGAGGTCCCTTCACTTTTATCTGGATCATTGTTAACAACCCAGCTCCGGGTCCCACCTGGCCTCCAGCTTCTGTCCCCAGCCCCCTGACAGTTTCCTCTAACACAGCAACCAGAGGGGTCATTTTCCAAGATCAGGCATATGGTATGACTCTGCATTCCTACTCCAATCTCTTGCGGGGTGGAAGCCTAAGGTTCTATATGGCTCTACAGGACCAAAGGAGATCCATCTCCCTGTCATCCCCATCTCCTGCCATTCTCCTGTTCCCTCTGCTTCCATGATGGCCTTCCTACTGTTCCCCAAACACCCCGCACCCCCCACCACCATGGGCCTTTGCACATGCTGTGTCATTATGAGTGCTCTACCTGCAGATGCGCGGGTGGCTCCCTGCCCTTCCACTCTGCTCAGATGTGACCTGCCCTGGTCACCCACCTCCTGCCCTAGATTCCTTACGAACAGGGCACTGGCACCATAGATGCACCATTGAGTCACTATTGACCGTCTGTTCCCAACAGAGGCCGAGCACCATGAGGGCAGCCTCTTCCTGCCACCAGGGCGTGCTGGTCTCTGCCCAGAGGAGGTTGTGAAGTCACCTGTGTGGCCTCACATGTCACAGGTGACAGGCCCACACAGGTGTGGCTCAAGATGTGGACCTGTCACTGGTCAGTTCCCAGGGGGTGGGCAGAGTCCTGCTGACCCCGAGCATCCTCACCTCATAGAAGAGCCCCTCGGGAAAGGGCCGGAAGCACTGGGCACACACGAAGCAGTGCTCGTGGTACAGCTCCCCGTTGCTGTTGACGATGCGCTCCGCGGGCGCGAAGCGGGCCTGGCAGCGCTGGCACACGGCGTTGGCCAAGGCGTCAGACATGTTGCTGGAGGGGAGAGGGCGTGGGAGGAGGTCAGGCCCAGAGGGAAGGCTGCCTCCATAGCCCTCCCGCTTCTTCAACGGTTGAAACGGCCTCTAAGGTCCAGAAACTCGCTCACCTTCCAGGACCACCAGGCTGAGACCACCTGGCCCAGCTGGGACCACCCAGCTCTGCTGGCCACAGACATTCCCCCAACTACTTGTGAAGGCTTGCTAAGCCCCAGCATGGGCCGGGGGCTGCGGTGTGCCTTTCCCACAAGGCCACCCCAGCCCCACGAGGCCAGCGTAGTGTCTCTAATTACTGACGAAGGAACAGAGCACAGAGAGAGTGAGCTCTGCTCACCATGGTTCATCATGGGCCACGGCAGAACCTCCATCTGAAAAGAAACCCCCTTCCTCAAGGAATTAGTCTCAGGTATAGAATATAACCAAGGCTCAGGCTTTGTATTCTCACTCTAATTTAATCCTCAAGGAAACTCTATAGCTACTGTTGCTCCAGGTGATGGGCCTAAGACTCAGAGAGGTTACATAACTCCTACAAGCTCACAGCAGGTATAAAAAACAAAGAGTCCAGATTTGAATAGAAATTATCAGAAGTTGGAGGTTCCTTCCTCTGCAGCATAAGTTAGTTTCAAATCAACTATTCCCACAGAAAACTTGTATCATGAAGACGTCTAGAGTGTGGATCTCTGGGGGTGTAGTTGGGGGAGATTCCCCTCATCTATGTTGTCTTCCCTCTGGGAGGATTGGAACCCTAACTACAGAAGACTCCTTTATCCGTGGTTTTAACCATGGTCTGAAAATAGTAGGAAACAGAAAATTCTGGCCTGAAGGTGCAGCTCAGTGATAGAGCACTTGCCTAACATGTACCAGGTCCTGATTTCTACCCCTAGCACTGAAAAAAAAAAAAAGACTGAATGAAAGAAAATTCCAGAAACAATTCATAAGTTTTCAATTGTGTGCCATTCCAGGTTTTGTGTTGAAATCCCATACAACCTTGCTCCTCATCTCACCCTGGACGTGAGTCATTCCTCTATCCAGTGGACCATACTGTCCTGTGTATGTGTACAGTATAGGCCAATAGCCTTTGGGGGGCTTGATATTATCCACAGTTTCAGGCATCTACTGGGGATCTTTGAGGGTGTCCCCGTGAATAAAGGGGACTACATTGAGCTGACCCACACTCTCAGAGGCCCTGAGGCATAACCAGGAGGCTGGTCAGATTCAAAAGTACAGTCACCATGGAGCCCCGACACCACCCACCATCCCTCGATGACCATCCAAACTCCTGACACCCGCATCTTTGACTGGAGGGGCAGCAAACAGATTCTGTCTCAAGTGTCCACTCCCATGGATTACTGGTGCCTGTCTGGAAGGCTGGGCAAAGAAGAACTGGGTTTCTTCAGTGTGGGCCGTGAGTGTCACAGCAGGTTTCTGGCACAAGGAGACAGACTAGAAACTGGGAAGGGGTCTCCTGTCTCCTCTGCTTGGGGACCTGTGTGGCAGGTACAGGACCACAAGGCCAATCGGCAACTTGCCAGGAAGGCCAGACTTCTATCCTCTGAGTTTGGGGAATCAGAGACGCCTGCTGTATCCATGTTCAGACCAGAGGGAAAGGAGACAGGGACGTGGTAGCAGACGTCAGGAACAGGCAAAGATGAAAGGACGGCTTTGCACACAGCAGCCTCAGCTCCCCAGTCCTCCCAGCTCCCCGCTGCTCTCCACGAGGCAGGCCAGTCCCTGGGGATGGATGACCCTGGGTCCACTGACTCGGTTGGGACAGGCCTGACTTCCTTCCTAAAGAACACTCTGAGCTTTCTCTCTGGAAGAACACACCCAAGGTGACAGAGAAGACGGTCCAATGCCCAACTGTGAACATGACCTCGGGTCTTGAAGAGGTCAGAAATCAACAGGAAATCCTGTGACTGTGGGCCTGGAATGCCCCCCTCCCAGGACCCAGAAATGAAACCAAATTAAGGATTCAAGTCCAGCCCCAGTCTTTTGTATCCTGCCTTAAAACCCAGACTTCTGGACTCTGACCAAGAGAGCTCACAGCTCATCTTCCACTTGCCCGCCAAGACCCCTTACAGACCCCAGGTCTCTGCTGCAGGTTCTGGCCTTGGGGACAGCCCCTCCCTCTCTGGCTTCTGGCTGAGCTGGTCCAACTCCCATGTCCAGTAGCTGCCGGATGGCTGTGCCCCTATGCAGCAACAGTTGTCCCTCCTTACCTAGCTAGCTCCTCCACTAGGCCACTCGACTGTCATGTGTCGAGGGCCCTAAACAGCAGCCTGATCACGCCCCTGTTCTTCTACCTTTTGCTTCATCTTCAAGTTGACACCCAGCAGCCAGCCCCTAACCAGAGGGGCTGGCCCTTCACTGGTCTGTGCCGAGTTCCCTGGCTGAGTCCCTGAGTTTCTCCGCTTGAGGATTTGCCCCCTTCCCTTGCACAAACTCCTGCACAACCCACTCCTCCTAAACCCACTCATGCCCCAGCCCAAGTCTTGGTCACTAGAAACCCCACAGGGCGCTCTGGGAGTTTTCATGGCTACATCCTCATGCCACCCTGAGAACACAGAACATTCTAGCCCACTGCAAAGACACCTAAATGAGCCCAGACCACTGACGTTCAGCACCACCAGGAAAAAAAAAAAAAATGTGAGCTTTCCCCAAAGGGGAGGAAGAGAGGAACTGTGCGTGCAACACAGATAGGGGCTCACGGCTCACCACCCAACTCCAGTCTCGCCAGGCCCAGCCATCCATTGCTGCACCTGAAAGAAGGGACCAGAACAACAGTGACTGCATGGTGGCACTGGAGGAAAGAAAGACTGGCACCAGCATGTCAAGCACAGAGGCCAGGGCCCAGCAGGCAAAGTGCTGGATAAAGGAACTGTTGTTTTCCAACAACCCGGAGCGTTCCAGAGTCCCTCCAATGGGGCCAGTTCCGGGGGGCAGGCCTGCAGGCTGCCTGCAAGAGGGCAGAAGGTCAGAGACATAGACATTCCACGCCCTCTTCTGCACATTCCACCCAAGAACAGGGAGCACAAAGTCTGCCCAGCTGTCCTCCAAGGAGACACGGCCACCCCGCCCCCAGCCACACAACACACAGCACACTGCCAGGGGACAAACCCCAGAGATGGGAGAGTGAACACCCTTCCCAACCCTCCCCTGCACACCCCAACTCTTTTGATCTGGACAGATGACACAGCCAAATTTGGTGTTTGTTTGTTTGTTTTGCAGTACTGAGGCTTAAGCCTAGGGATACTCTACCACTGAGCTCCTCCCCAGTCCTTTTTACTTTTATCTGGAGACAGTCTCCCTCAGTTGCCTTGGCTGACCTTGAACTTGCCATCCTCCTGCCTCAGTCTTCTGAGTAGCTGGGATTACAGGTATGCACCATCATCCCCAGCCAACACAAGCCAAATTGCCATAAAATGTCCCTGAGTTTGACAGTGTTTGACAGACTGCAATGAATGAGGTGACGGGAGCCTTCTCTGGGCCAGGCCCTTGAGAGCAGAGGTTGCTAATTCCAAATAAGGAGATTGAAACAGAGAGTGGGTCACACCTGTGGGTCACACAAAATTGGACTCAGGTCTCCTCCTGTCCCTTTCCAGACCTTGTTTTTTCACTCAACCCCCAACCTTCCTCTCTGCCAGCCTCCCATCAATCAGAGCCTAAAAGATAGTGAGAAGGCCTGGGGAGAGAAAGGGACTAGCCACAACAGGTCTGGTCACAATGAGCCAGGGTTACTGAGGCCACATCATCCTGGTTATCAGTCAGCCCTGTGGCTTGTCCTCTACAGCCAGGCTGCAACCTGCCTCAGATGCTCCCAGTGGCAAAGTGCTATCTGAACCCAACTTCTTCATCTGTGAAATGGAAAGTTCTATCCAAGGCTTGCTGGGAGGGTTCAGTGAAGTGATGCCCACGGCAGTGAGTGGCACTCCTTCCCTCTTCCAGCTAGGTCTTTACTGAGCACCTGTGCTGTCCCAGGAATTATTCCAGGTGCTGGGGGAAGGGAATCCCACTGCAGCACAGC